CTTTAAATGTACAGCCAAGAGAAAGCCAGAGTATGAAAGAAGTTTCTCACAGGTCTTGGCCCACAACAAGGAAATAGGCCCCCAACTCTGGAACAAATGGTCCCAGATTAACAGCCCTGTCTGGATCATACCTGGTCAACGGACAGTCTGGGACTTTCCAAGTCATTCTATGGTTTTTCCTTTAAAGAAGAACAGGTCACAGCTGGGTGATCTCTCAAACATGAGATCATACTTTGTAATCAATCACCTTGTGCCCCATGCATGTATGCTGATTGCAGTCTTTCTCTAGAGAGCCTGAACCCTTTGAGGAGTGTGCAGCTTTCCCCTGAGATTGCTGTCACCCGAGTGCACTCGTTCAATAAACACCTCTTGCTTGTTGCATCTCCTGGTTTTGGTGTTTGGGTCTCGGGGCTCTCCAATTGGCCCATCAGGACCCCGAAATTGGGGTCTTACACACTAGGCCTAAAAGCAAGGTAAGCAAGGTCATGGGATGGTTCAAAACTTGGATGGTTAATAAGGTTTCCAAGGTTACAGAAATTTCATAGAGTACACAGTTTTTACAAGGCGGGATTGTTTAGCGCACCTACAAGGTTAGGGGGTTTTCTTTCTCTAGGACCAGTGGGCTCAGTGGCCTTGTCCTTAAGATAACAGGGGGCAGGGAGAATGTGCTCTCCAGTCAGGGAGTTATCTATATCTATTGGCAGAAGCATTTGCTCTTTCTGGCTTTCCCTTCTTGCCATGAGTGCTGTCTCTTTTAGTTATTAATTTTCTTTGTGGACAGGATGACCCATAACAATTCCCAGACTGTTGTGGATAACAACATTTCTCAGAAACTGGGTGGTTATAATAATAATAACAAGTCCCAGAAACCGGTCATGGTCATCATGACCGGACCATTTCACGTTTTCCCTTTTCTCTGAGCTTTACATGTGGCTAGGGTGGTTTTTAAATACATGCTGGTGGGTGTTTTTTAGACTTCTAATTTCCAATGGTCATGGGAAAGCTAGGCTGTATCTTTTTTTATCCTTTCAACTCCAGGGCTCCGAGTGTCTTCTCTGACTCCTTTGAGCTTCTGTCCTCCCTTTTCCTCACATCACATATCCCCTTTGCCAGTGAGAAGCCAGTTTATGGACACTCTCCACAGTGGTGTTTTGTTGTTATTTCTTTCCTTTTTCTTTTTGGATTTCCGAGACAGGGTTGCTCTGTGTAGGTTTGGAGCCTGTCCTGGAACTTGCTCTGTAGACCAGGCTGGCCTTGAACTCACAGAGATCTGCCATTGAGCGCTGGTGTTAAAGGCGTGCACCACCAATGCCAGGCCACGGTGAGTTTTATTAGTAAGTGATGTTAAAGTTTTGAATATGCCAGCAAAAGGTTTTGACTCACAGGGACCAAAGGCGTGCGCCACCAACACCAGGCTGTCAGCAAAAGGTTTAATCTGTTTGCGATACAATTAGAAAAAGAAAAGCCTATAGCTCATCAGTTAAAAGCATCACTGCCTGCTCTTCAAAGATCCCAAATTCCATCCCAGCATCCACGTTTGCTCACAACTATCTGTAATGAGGTCTGGTGCCCTCTTCTGGCCTGCAGGCATACATGCAGGCAGAATACTGTATACCGAATAAATAAAAACTTAAAAAAAAAAAAGAAAAAGGAAAACCTAAAATTATCCCTGCAGAGAGGGATTTCTATCCATTCTAAACTATGTGTTCTGGAGATAAAAGGTTTTTAATCCCAGCACTTGGGAGACAGCAGCAGGCAGACCTCTGAGTTCCAGGATAGCCTTCTTTACATAGTAAGTTCCAGGACAGGACAGCCTGGGGTTTGTAGAGACCCTGAGTTAAAAAAAAAAGAAAAAAAAAAAAAAAAAAAAAAACACTTAGCCAAAATATAGTCAGAAGCCTGCAGTGCTCATTCAGGAGACGGGAGGCAAAACTGCTGGAGCCCACTGTCCTTGTGGCAGAAATGGAGTACAACTTCAGTTTTCCTAGAAAGCTATGGGTGTTTCAGGTGATATCAGCTCAGCATTGGTCCTTCCAAGGGTGAAATCATGGGGTCCATGGCCCACGGCATCACAACTCAGAGAAGTGGATTGTGCCCAAGCCTTGAAAGCTCCTGAGAGTGCCAGCTGTGGCAATTTGGAGTGTTGGAAGGGCAAAAGGTGAGGAGTGTATCTTTGGACCATGATGGCCACCACCTGGAACCTTCAGATTTAGCCCCATGGGTGATGGTCCCCAGGCAACAATGAGTCCCAAAGTCATTTCCAACCCAAGTGAATGTTAATTAATGAGAACAGGACTCAGAGATACAGGTTGTAATCTGGAAAGAAGCTGAGGCAGGAGGATTGCAAAGTCCATTAAATTCAGAATCCAGACTGCTCTCAGCAGAAAGCTCAAAGGGACGCCTGTTATAGCCTCGAGCAGTTGGAAAGAATCCACCACTGTGCCCAGCTAACAACTACAAGATGGCTCGGTGGGTAAGAGCACTTGTGTTCTTGCAGAGAATCTGGGTTTGATTCCTGTAGGGCTCTGCACGGACCCTCCCCCCCAGGTGCCTTGAGCAAGCCTGAAGCTGTTGGCCAGAACTCCTTGCCCCAAGGCTGTTGTTGGTACTCTTCCCGTTTTGTTGACACACACCTCGTGGGGAGGAGCTAAGCCTAAAATTCCTGTAATTTCCCACTGTGCTGTAAGTCAGTATTTAAGGGGCATTGGGCACTTGATTTGTAGAAGAGATGGTAGCGCAGGCGCTACAGATTCCCAGCACCCACATGGGAGCTCGAAACCACATGTAACCCCAGTTCCAGGGAAAGACACCCTGTTATGGCTTCCCAGGCTCTCCATGCACAGGACACACATTCAGACATGCAGGGAAAACACTCATACATGCTCCTGGTGAGCACACTTTTCAGAAACAGAGACACAGTCCTTAGAAAACATCAGAATTTATTGCCTAACAATAAACCCACATACTAGATCAACTTTGTTATCTATAAAACACTAAGTTCTATGGCTTCACTTGGTAGTCACGGTTACTAACAATCCAAAATTTTTTCCCAACCTTAATTACACATTATACTTCAGACAATGAATGATGTGTAGCCTGGGGATATACCAAGTTCCAGGACTACCTAAAGGGACCACCTCAAAAGTGCACAAAGACACACACACACTCAAACTAACAACAACAACAACAACAACAAAACCTAAAGAGGCAGGCTGAAGATGCAACTCAGCAGATAGAGTGTAGAATGCTCGCCTGGCAAGCAAGGAACTGTAGGTTTGGGCCAGAGAGTTGGTTTACTAGGTAGGCAGTGACGACTGAGAGTTCAATTCCCAGTTCCAACTCCTGCAAGTTGTCCTGACCCTCCCCACAACACACACATACATCACTGTATATGTGAACACACACTACGTAAATAAAAAGCTATGGGCTTCTTTTGCCCAGAAATAGCAGAAAGCTAGGGGTGGCACTTATACTCGTAACACCAACAGGCAGGAAGCAGACACTATTAGAGACTCGAGGAACACACTAAAAATCTGGGCATAGGAGTACAGCTCAGTGGTATAGCTCTTCCCCACAGCAAGTGAGGCCAAGTTCAATTCCCACCACTAATTAAGAGAGGCCAGTCATGGGCACAATTTCTGCTGAAGCGAATCTACTTAGTGAGTTCTAGGACAGCTAGGGTTATAGGGCTATGGAGAGACCCTGTTTCAAAAAACAAAAAAAAAAAAAAAAAAAAAAAAAAACCAAAACAAAGTTAAGGTGTGGATGCATCAAACTGTAGCCCCAGCGCAAACAGGCAGATCCATGGGAGCTCTCTGGGCAGCAGGTTCTGTGAACCATCAAGCCTCTGGTTCCGTGAGACCCTTGTCAGGGGAATCAGAGTAAGGCAGAGGACACCTGATGTTTTCCACAGCCTTGTTTTTAGGCACAGCACATTCACCACACACACAAAAAGAGTCTCTATCAGTCAGGGTGTTGTGCTGTAGCCCAGAAACAGTTGGGAGTTCACTGTAACCCATGGTCTAATGACATAGGTCAGTGGATACTGCCACAGCCCAGTGCTAATGTCCCTCTTTACCTGATTGCAGGGGGGGGGGGCGGAGCTGTAGCCTTCAATGGTCTGGAGTGTTTAATGTCATAAAAGCTGACTTTCTGCTAGGGCTTATGTATACTTGCACACTATGTTCCTGGTTCCATAATAAGCTCATAGGTGGCACTATTTTATGAGTGTATAAATACATGATTCATGGTATGTCACAGTTATGCAGGCTGTCGGCTGACTGACAGACAAGACAGTCATCCAGCCTCAGCAGTACAAACCAATTTTTAAATTACTTTAGATTTATGTGTTATGAGTGTTGTGCCTACACAGATGTCTATGCACCACATGCATGCCTTGTGCTCCCAGAGGCCAGAAAAGTACATCAGATCCTCTGGAACTAGAGTTAGGGGTGATTGTGAGCTACCACGTGGATCCGGGAACTCCAACCTAGGTCCTCTGTGAGAACAACAAGTGCTATGAATGGGGAAGCCATCCCTCAAGCCCCCACAAAGTGCTGCTATATAAAACGCTACTCCTTTACTGAGGAACACAAGGCACAGCTACAGAACCAGGTAAAGGATAGAGAACCAGGTCTGACGGTACAAGCCTATACTCAGCACTCTAAGAAGGTTAAGGTAAGACCAACAAAAGTCTTAGAACTTTATAGTAGATTTGAAGGTGGAAGCCAGGTTAATCATCCAGGTAGAACTGATGGTGCAGTCTAAAGTCATGAGTTAGCTACCCTCTCACCAGACACCTGTGTGTTGCCTTCTGCCTCCCAGTGTCCACGGGAGAGCTTGCTATGTGCATCTCATTAACAGTTGGCCAACAAGTCCCAACACACCATACACATATTAAGACTCAAAGCAGGAAGACATGCTCTGGCTGCCCAACAGTTCTCTCTGTGTCTATACACTCAACACAGGCTGAAAAAAAAAAAATCGCCTCACGGCCCTGGTCAATAATCGTCACAGCTTGGGACAAGGGTTAACTGTGACCCTAGGTGTCTCAGCTTGATCTGGTGGCGTATCAAATCCCTCAAGAAACGCTTGGAGGCATAGTTCCCACTGAAGTTAAACAGGATGAGCCGGGTACAGCACCTCAGGGCGGGCAGGATGGTACTGAGTTGCGAGTCCATCAGTTGACATCCCTCCAAGTCTAGTGTCATCAAAGTAGGAGCAGTTTTTAGTAACAGAACTCGCAGGGGCTCTGGGCTGAAATGAGTCAGTTTGATGCATTTCAAAATCAGGTGTTTTAGCTGGCTTGTGCACAGGAACTCAGACATATGGGTCCAGTCCGATTTTGAGAGAAAACAGTGAGTCACCGACAGGGTCTCTAAGGGTGCCTTCAGCCACCTAAAAGAAAACAAGAATACAGTTCTGGGAATATGTGTATGGTCCAAGATCTTTCTAATCTCATGATGAAAGCCAGCAGCTACAAGGCTCCATGACGGCCTGCTAGCTCAACTCTGCTGAGGCCTGGCACCATCGTTGTAGGATCGGCCCAATCCCAGACTGCAAATTCCTTTCTACACAGGGAGGATCGACCAATGCGGGGCAAGATGTGGCAACATGCCTGTGGGTTCACTGACCTGTCTCTTCACAGCCAGTTCCTGTTCAGAGTGCTTCACCCTGACCCAGAATCTCAACCCTGATGTCACACTTCCCATCTACTCACCCTCTGGGGTCAAAACAAAGCCAGGTATGGTGGTATACACCTTCGATACTACCAGGGAGCTGCGATAAGAGGAGGACCCGGCCACGGGGAGCACAGCACTACACAGGATGAACTGCCCTCAAAAACCAGCCTGTCCTTGATGGGAAACTGGAGGCAAGCTGAGCAGAACTCAGTGTACAGCGCTCCCCTCCTTTTCCCTTTTCCAATTTCCCTTAGACACTTGCTAAGACATCAGAACCCATTCTTGCTAGGTCTCACTCCTGAAGACGCTTTCTAGCTTGGTGCCCCCTCTCCAAACCACCAACCCCAGCTTAGCCCTACTCCTTTGTATTAGTATATGAGCCCCTACTCCAGGACAGCAGATACAGAACCATGCCTTGCTATTCTGATGCTCTGGCAATGTTCATCTACCAGTGGCTGCAGCGAGCAGGTGGAGCCACTACTGTCTAAAGGAGCAAGGTTTTGCTCCACTTTGATGAGAAACCTGACCATCCCTCCTTACCAGAACAGCTGGTCCAGGTGATCCTCTAGGAAGAAGACATTATCCAGGTGCAGGCACTTAAGCTGCTTCAGCTTGACAAACTGTGAGGTGAATTGGGTGATGATCTGATCCTTCTCCACTGGGGTGAGAAAGACGCCAGACCAGAAGCGGGAGAGGAGGAGACTACGCAGGTACATCATACGGCCCAGGTAAGGGGAGAAGTTAAGTAGGCAGATAGGATTATTCATGTAGAGCAAACTCAATTCCTGGATAGAGTCCAGATCCAACCTCTCCAAGACTTCTCTGTGGTAGTTAATGGCCATGGACCAGATCTGAAGTTTGTTACAGCACAGGAGCATCAGACCCTCCCTCTGACCCACCCACTGGATGAGGAAGGACTCCGTGGATGATAGAGGACCTTCCTTGAGGACCAGGTCTATCACTACCTTCACCAGGGGCTTCACCTCCGTTCCTGAATGAGCCACCATTGCTTGACTCGGGTCATGAGCCATGAACACAGGCCACCTGTCCCACATGCTCAAAGGCATAGCACGTAAACACAGCACTCTGAGTCTGCACCTCCTATGGGTAAAACAGGGAGGAGCCTCAGCATGAGGACACTAGCCACTGTCCTAGTCCCACACCCTTCTCTTTTGAGTCCAGCCCTGTTCCACTTCTAGTGGCGCCTGTGGGAAGCAGGGACAGTCTTTGGACCACTGCTGACTTTGAGTGCTGCACACTCCACAGCCCTTTCCCAGATGGCTCAGCAATGGCCAAAGCGCCTGGAGCTCTCCAAGCTGGTGCCACCAAAAGCCCCCCAAACTCCATTCTACCGTCTACTCTATTTCCCGAGTTCTACCTAACCCCAGCTATCCGCTTTTTTTTTTATTCCTAGGGCATTTGGGTCTCACTCACCTATGAGGAGCCTTCTGGAAAAGCAGACCATCAAGCCCCAACAGGATAATCTCCAAGATTCTCCTGTAGGCAGTCTTCCTCCTGATCATGGCTCCCAGTGGGAGGCAGGGGAAGGGCCAGGCCTGCACCATCGCCACCATGACGTCACAGCAGCTTTTTCTGCAGGCCTTTTTGAACAGCGACGGGAAGAAAATAGCGGGTAAATCGTCCACAGCAGAGACGGCCAAGGCCTGGTTCCTCAGAAGGCTGTTCTCCGCCAGCTCCTGGAGTGTGGGTGGGGACCTGCAGCTCATCCTGATGAATCTTCAGGAAAAAGGTTCCTGGGGCAACATTGAGAAAGACATCCTTTCAAGCAAGTGCTGAGGCTTTTCTTACCCGTGGCGGGAGCTAACTCAGGGCCACAAGTCACTGCTCTGAGAGCAGCAGGGACCTCAGGTTAGCTCCTTCCCCTAAGTGCTTCCCTGGACTAGAAAGCCCCATCAAACTTCCTGCTGGCCCCAGGAGTATGGTCTCTCAAGCATCCATGGGCCACAGCTCATCTTCATACCATCCATTTCCAGCTTTGGCACTGGATTCCATTCCCAGAGGGAAGTGAGTCCTGCACACTCTGGAAGCTAAACTCCAGCTCCCTGGGGACATGTCTCATTCAGTACCCTGGATGGCTGGGATGGCAGCACTCGGGAGGCAGAGGTTTACCTTCAGCTAGGGGCCAGCTTTTTTAGCTGGGGTGGAAAGAAGGGGTAGCAATAACTATTAGAAAGAAGGAGTAGTGATAGCCAAGGCCTCTAATCTCATCACTTAGAAGGTAGAACAATCGTGGTTCGAGGCTAGCCTCAGCTGCATGGAAAACTAGATGTTAGCCTAGGTTACTTCAGATCCTGTCTTAAACAAGAAATTGTAATACTATGTCTCTAAGACAGAGTCCTTAGAATGTGATTTAAGGACATACAAACTAAACACAGCACTCAAGAGTAAAAGGGATCACCTGAGTTTGAGGCCAACCAGGGCTACGCAGTGACAATTGGTCTCAAAAAAACAAATAAACATCTTCCTTATCTCAAGTCATAAATGGAAAACATTACGAATCCATGGCCAGTTTTAAGCACAATGAACAGGAAGGTTCCCCTTCTCTGGTGCCTTTGCTCAGACAACCCTGGGGTTGGCAACTTCATCCACACAGGCAGTTGGATAGCTATGTTCGCATCAGAATTTTTGTTTCTGTTTAAGACAAGGTCTTGGCTGGCCTCAAGTCACCACATGGGCTGGACAGCTGGCTCAGTGGTGAGAGGACACACTGCTCTTGCAGAGGGTGTGGGTTCAGTTTCCCCAGTACCCACCTGGTGGCTCCCAACCCCAGTCCCAGAAGGCCTGATGCCCTCTTTAGATCGCCAACCTTTTCGTGGCACACAAAACACTCCCACACACAGTGAATGGCTTTCAAAAGGTCACTATGTAAACTAGGCTGGCCTCTAATTCACAGGTCCATATGGCCCTACCCGAGTGCTGACACTACAGGTGTGTACCACCAGCGATTTGGTTTTGGTGTTTGTTTGCTTGTTTTGTTTTTTTCAAGACAGGGTTTCTCTGTGAAACAATCCTGGCTGTCCTAGAACTCACTCTGTAGAACCAAGCTGGCCTTAAAACCACTGAGATCCACATGCCTCTGCTTCCGGAGTGCTGGGATTAAAGACATGAGCCACCACCACCTGGCACAACCTTTAGTTTTTAAGACAGGGTTTCAAACTATGTAGCTCATGGGGCTGGGACTCAAGTATCCAACTGCCTCTGGAATTAAAGGGGATATTTTGATCCAATGTGTCAATTGCTTTATTTACCTTTGGTAAACTCTATTGTAAAATTCAGTATTATATGTGAAAGGGCAATCCTCTACCTCACTCTTCAAGGACTAGGATGCATGCAGTAACAGCTAAACTGAATTATTACTAACGAGTTTGAGGAGGTACACTCACAGTATTTGTGGTAGTGAGCACTGAACCTGACTGTCTGGGAGGGGCCAGAGGCCCAAGTTCAGATGGAGGTCTGAGGACCCAGCCCCTCTCCATCCTTCTGGGAGGGAACGTGCACTGAAAGGTCCTATCGAACGATGACCTTAGCGTTAAATGGTAATGGCTGTCGGTCTACTAGGATAAAGTGCAAAGCAAGCAATCTGTGATTTTGGATGCAGCTTGGTTGATCGAATGAAGGCCTAAGGTCTAGCACAAACAGGATGTGTTAGTATTCGTCTGTAATTCCAGCAGCAACTTCGAGGTGCAAGCTGGGGAAATCACAAGTTCGATTCATGACTGGTAGTGGTGGCTCGTGCCTTTAATCCCAGCACTCAGGAGGCAGAGGCAGGTGGATCTCTGTGAGTTCAAAGCCAGCCTGGTCTACAAAGCGAGTTCCAGGACAGCTAGGGCTATTACACGGAGAAACACTACAAAAAAAAAGAAGAAGAAAGAAAGAAAAAGAAAAAAAGAAAAAGAAAAAAACAAAAGGGGGTGGCATTCAACTCATTCCTGTTATATATAGGCTCAATGACTCAGTATTTAATGCTAGCACTCTGGAGAATCACATTATTTGAATAGTCAAGTCTCCAGTGGACACCTAGATTAATTAACATGGGATGGTCAGGCTCAAGTACTCCTCCGGCTTCAGGGAGTTAGGTGAAATTATCATCTGCAACTTCTACAGTCTGGACGAGGTAACTATGGAACAAACAGACTTACCAGAGATGGACAGATGAGAGACGTCTCCTAACTGCAGCAAGACGAAGACGCGACTCCTGGCTCGAGGACTCTGCCTTCTTCCGCTCCTCTGCTGCCCTGGCTGGCCTGAAACTCAGTACGCAGCCCAGGCTAGCTTCAAACCCGTGGGGACCTGCGTGCTCGCAAGCCTCAGCCGCACCACGGGCTCCTGGAGCTTTTCCACAGCTTTCTACTTCCACACTGGCTAAGCAAGCCGAGGCCCCAGTATAAACCGCCACCTGATTGGATGTTTCAATCTCCACCCACTTTATATGGATTTTGTTTTTCTCCAAAGGGTTTGAGTCCAGAGCCGTATAATGGAAAATCCTTTTAGTGCCAACACTCAGGAGGCAGGTCGGTCTCTGTGACTTCGATCCCAGCCTGGTCTAATAAATATTGACTTCCAGGCTCCAGCCAGGAATACTTAATGAAACCCTGTCTTTTAAAAAGAAAAAAAAAGGGGGGGGGGGCGGGACAGCCCGTGGTGGCACACGGCTTTACTCACAGCAGAGACAGGAGGATCTCTGTGAGTCGCCCATATTTAATCTCAAGAGGCAGAGGCAGGAGATCTCCATGATTGTGAGGCAAGCACACTACACACAGATACTTTTTCTGTCTGTCTCTCTGTCTCTCTCTTCCCCTCTGTCACACTCTTTCTCTGATGGTAGATGTCATTCTGTAAATATGTTTCTCATACTGGTTAATGACTAAAGCACTGTTGGCCAATAGGAAAGCAAGAGAGGAGGGACTAGGAGACAAGGAGGAAAGAGGAAGTAGAAAGGAGGAGTCAATATGAAGAGTCTGGGGAGAGCACAATGTCAGCCCCTCTCCGGTAAGATGAAAGCGTGGAAATACATAGATCAATAGAAATGGGTTAATACTTAAGACAGAGTTAACCAATAAGAAACAAGTAACCGGCCAACAGCATAATAGCAAATACAGCAAATATCTGTGTGTTATTTGGGGCTGGCGCGGCGGGACAAGACAAGCGGTAGGAGGAAAAACCATACTTCTTACATATGGCGCCCACTGTGACTTTCATGTTAGCAATGTTGTTTACCTGATAAAAGACTCGTGGTCAGAAAAAGATAAAAATTTATAGTAAAGACAGATTCACATTAAGAAAAAGTGCTAAAGGTTTACAGTGAGTTCTAAAATATATGTAGGCTTGGGAGAGAAAAGAAATAAAATGGTTTTAAAAAGACACCAAGGAGCTGGGTGTGGTAGCACACGCCTGTAATCCCAGCACTGGGGAGACAGGCAAGCAGATCTCTTGTGATTTCAAAGTAAACCTGGTATGCAGAGTGAATTCCAGGATGGATAAAAGTTACACAGAGAAACCCTGTCTCAAAAAATAAAAGTTAAAAAAAAAAACAGTAATAAAAAAGCCAGGATGGAGAGAATCTGGATACTGTACAGTGTTATATTGTCTTTTGTTTCGTTTGACTGCTGAGGAAACAACTATTAAAGGAAATGCTCAGCCAGCAGCGCAGCCCTGGCTCCCACGGATCTGCCTTTTGCTTCAACAGTGTTTGGATAGAGCAGACCCGGGCACGCCCTCCTTTAGCTGGGTCCCAGCAGCTTCTAGCCGGCCTCTCCAGTCGCAGCCTCCGGGACCATCTCCTCGCCCACCCCCCCTGCTCCTAGGACCAGCCAGCTCCGTCAGCACACAGCGCCTCAGCCATGGCCTCCAAGGTTCGTCAGAACTACTCTACCGAAGTGGAGACTGCTGTGAACCGCCTGGTGAAACTGCACCTGCAGGCCTCCTAAGCCTACCTCTCTCTGGGCTACTATTTTGATCGGGATGATGTGGCTCTGGGCGGCAGGCCACTTCTTCAGCGAATTGGCGGAGGAGAAGCGCGAGGGTGCCGAGCGACTCCTCAAGTTTCAGAACGACCGTGGGGGCCGCGCACTCTTCCAGGATGTGCAGAAGCCATCTCAAGATGAGTGGGGTAAAACCCAGGAGGCCATGGAAGCTGCCTTGGCCCTGGAGAAGAACCTGAACCAGGCCCTCTTGGGTCTTCATTCCCTGGGATCTGGTCGCACAGACCCTCATCTCTGTGACTTCCTGGAGAGCCACTTCCTGGATGAGGAGGTGAAGCTCATCAAGAAGATGGGCAACCACCTGACCAACATCCGTAGGTTGGCTGGGCCCCAGCCAACGCAGACTGGCGTGCCCCAGCCATCTCTGGGCGAGTATCTCTTTGAGCGGCTCACTCTCAAGCATGACTAGGAGGCCTCCCCTTCCAAGGAGCTCCCTCCCTCTGCTCTGCACCAGCCAGCCTCAGGACCCTCACCCGAACCTCTCAAGCCACTAGGCAGCTTTGTAACCACCCTGAAGCCCCTCTCAGATCTTGGACCAAGTAAAAATAAAGCTTTTTGAAACAGCAAAAAAAAAAAAAAAAAAAAAAAAAAAAAAAAAAAAAAAAAAAATGCTCCTGGATTAATTCAATTTATATATTTTAAAAATGCTTTGACTTCAAAATTTAAGTCTAAGGACAAGTTACTGGGGGAAAGGATTTCTATTTTTGTTTCCACAGAAAATGAAA